TTTTTTTTTCTTATTTATACTGTTATTATGCCTCAACATTTTTCTCTCTCTGTTCTCTTGCTCCATGTGTGTGAAGAGCGATTGGTATAACCAACATACAGGTTGATCACGTTGTTTTAAATAAGTTTATCTAGTTCGCTGTACTCACGTAAAACATCGAAAGTCGCTTATTTTTATCTAATTAAATATAGCATTGACTACTCTATCGAACTATATAATTTACATTTCATTTAGTTCTAGTTCAAAAACGTTTTTTTACGCAATAAATTTGATATGATACATGGTCACGTGTTGTATTTTATTTTTAGATCATTTAATACGTTTTATTAAAAAACAAACATGGTAAAGTTTATTTTAACCGTGTACTTTTTGCTTTCAAAGGAGACAAAATTCTGCGTCACCGATTTTTGTCGTTAAAAAAAGATTTTTCTTTTCTATGATTTCATTTTTTCGTTATAAAAAGTAAAATGTATCAAAAGATGCAGTATGAAAAGTTCTTCAATCTATAAGGTAAAGCATGTTGTAACCTTTTTCAGAAATAATTATTGCATACTCAAAATTATTAAAAATGACATGATCAACCTGTATAATCGCATGCATTCTAGTTACTATTGTTAGATAGTTTTTAAAACCACGTCGTGCGTAAAATATTTCTATTATAATACTATAAATATGAATCGTTAATAATAAGACATGAGTCGACACAGTTCATTAAACAAACTAAAAATATAGTAAAGAAATGAATATCTCCTTTACCGCATCACCACAGGTGTATTCAACATATTTATAACATGAAGGTAAGAGTTAAATACATCTTTATTTTTAATATTTCCAGTTCAATTAAATTAACTTTAAATAATATATTTTTGTCCTTTTATATTTCAATAGATTCTATGATTTTATATAAAAAAAACTTCTACAACGCTTTATTCTTTGCTTAAATTATCGATGGAGAACTTCATTTTAAACACGATTTTTTCTTTTTAGTTTGTTCATTCTTAATTATCTTATAATATTAACATTCAGTTATTTATCGTCTATCAAAACAATTATTCTTGTTAATTTTTTTATGATAAATCTGTTATATCTGATAGTCTAATCGCACTCATTCACCTTGCTTTCATAATTTATATATGATGATAACGACAATTTAATTTCTATCGAGTGACATATATTCTAATGAGTTTTTTTCAAAAACAACGATAGTAACTTGAAAAAATTTTTTTTTATAGATTTATTTGAAGTAAATAGCTTTCATCATTGAATATAATGACATCAAGAAAAAAAAGACGTCCTTATAGATTTTGTAAATTATAATAGAATAAAATCGTCTTTCTATCTGGACTATTTTTATATTTTAGAAAAATTATTTTTTTAATATTTTACATTTACTATTATTACTTATTTTGTGATTATATTAATGGCTAACAACAGCAATGCTGAAGCTTTCAAAGGCACGTGGGATTATGTATGTAGATAGGATATATTAAAAGTAATATAATAATAAATGAACGATATCTTTTTAGGTTGATGGTGAAAATAATGATGAATATTTGAAAGAAATTGGTGTTGGTATGATGGGACGTTTAGCAGCTAAAGGACTTAAACCACGTTTAGTTATTAGTGAAGAGCATGGAAAATGGGCAGTTCGTACAGAAACTACTGTAAAAACAATGACATTAGAATTCACTCCTAATGTTGAATATAAAGAAACAACAGGCGATGGACGTGAACTCAAAGTATGTTTATTTAACTGTGTCGATGAATTTAACTGATATTTTATTTTTTAGGGAACTGTTCGTTTTGAAAATGGTAAATGGATTCAAAAGATGCATGACAAGCATGGTAAAGAATCGACGACAACGCGTTGGATAGACGAAAAAGGTCAATTACAAAGTGTAATATATTCCGTTAACTTCTTTTTGCAATTATATAATATATATATATATATATATTTTAGGTTTCAGAATGTGGAAAAGTCAAAGCTCAAAAATTTTACAAACGTGTTCAGTAGATATTGACAATTTATAATATTACATTGATGATATTCGTAATCTAATATTTTTTGTATATGTGCGAATAAAATTTTCTTATCTTTGAACATCAACTTCTATTCCTACATATAGGAACATAATTATTATTAAATTGCAAGAGATTCTTATTGTTGTATGTCATACGTTGCGTCAAAATAGAAATTTACATAATTGATATATCTATTTCTTGATTAAACCTTTTATAAAAAATTCACAATAATATATAAAAGATTAATAGAATCTTGGGCGATAAGATGAACGAGCTGAAGGTGGTTGAATTATAGGTATGTAAGATTGTGGACGTTTTCTAGGAGGAACCGGATAGGAAAATTGACGTCGATAAGAACCTCGAAGATTTTGATATTGAGGCATTAATAATTGTGGTAAAACTCTTTTATTATCTTCATTACGAGATATAAAGTAACTAGCTATTTCACTCTCTATTTTCTTCACTCGAGTAACTCCTAAAGGTGCACTAAGACGACGTTTATTTGCCAAATAAATAACACCTGATTGTCGATCTCTTGTAAGATCGTTTAATGGTGAAAATTGATAATGAGACAGAATTAACCTACAAAGAAACAATAATTGACAATAGATTAAAACTGACTTTGTCTCACCATCTTCCAATCGGACTTAGATTAGCTTGATATCCATGCCATCGACGATATAAATTAACATCAACATAACCTACATTTGCACCATAACCTGCTATTCTAGCAACACCATCACCCCAACCCTTTGCTAACATATGATAGTCTTTATGTAAACCCATTGGAAATGTTTCTTGAATGCGACCCAATAAAGCATATGCAAAGTGAAGATCATCCGAACCAATAACACAAAAATCTATAAGACCTCCAATAGCATTGAAAGTTTCGCGACGCATTGCCCATGCATAACCAGGATGAGCATAAGGATGTGAATGATGTGGTTGTACTCGTCGTCCATGACGAATCGCATGTGCAAATGAATATTCTCTTTTTAAAATTTCATATTTGCCCGTCGGTCCAGTGATATACCCTGTTTTAAACATTTGTACGATTGAATATCGCTCAAGAGCACTCAATGTCAAATAAGGCCAATCAAGACGCTAAAAAAACAGATTATATATTTTATAAAATAAAAAATCGTTATACCTCAAATTCTACATCTGCATCAATCCATGCTATACGATCGATATATGCAGGTAAACGTTGAACTGCAACATTGATCAAGTTTTCTTTCATCCACATGATTGATGGAGCTACAACTTGAATATGATATGGATTACCAGGTCGTGTTACTTCAAATCTTTGTGGTGGTAAACCAAATTTTGTCGCAGAAGCGAAAACACATTCGATCGTGAATAATTTAACGCCAGATTGCGCCATATGATAAGCAAATTTACGATATCGTTCATACCTAGATCGATATCGAACAGGATTGAATACAACAGAGATGATACCCAAGCGAGACAAATCGTTTCGGGATGAATACATGTTGACGTTACGACGATTGATGATATGCTTCGTTTGGAAAAAAATAATAACCACGTTTTGTATATTCTTCGTTTCGCTTTTTGAAATCTAATCGTTCTTATTTTTCTTTTTTCACATGGTAATAATGAAGCTACGCTTCATTGACGTATATGATGGTGCAAAATGAGACAACGAAAAGAATGAAAAAACAAACCATGTGTATTCTAATCAATAATATTTTGAGCACGGAAATTTTCTAGTATATTTTATATAATTGATAACTATGTCGAATAATATTTTAAATGAAATTACGTATATGTCATACCTTTTATATTACTTTACTAACACATCAAATGATATATTAGTTGCTTTAGGAATATTTCTATTATTCTTCATAACGTACATAGATTATTTTTATGAATAGTCTTATTTTTGGAATATAATATAGTTCACATAAAAGGTTATAGTTCATTCGAACATGCCTACTTATTAAATAGTTTTTAAAAAGATTTTTTTATTTTTCCTAACAAAAAAATTGAATTAAAATAGATGAAAAAATAAAAAGAAAATTATGTTATAAATTATATTTGTTAAGAGTAATTATTAAAATATTTAAATATAATTGTTTTTTTTTCCATATTAAGACAAAAGAAACCGAACTTCAGAATATGATGCGGAGGTTCCAGAGCCTCTTTTTGAAGTAACAAGAAAACGATAACTTGCAAACCGCATAGAATTATTAGGAAGTATTTGTATTGCACCAAAGCTTGATCGTCCAGGATCAATTATTAATCCTGAAGAGCCTTCATAGATTAAAGTCCAACTTGAGCCAAATGTGAGTTCGGATTCATATAAATTGCTTCCTTCAATAGTAACCGATAGCGGGTCGCGCATCGAATCATACTCATTTGTACCTAAATAAAATGCCACAAGACTCATTGATTTATTATACATCGTTAGATAGAAACCAGTTTTTTCTCCACATGACACATCATAATACGTATAATTACACATCCCATGATTCGTATAATCTGTAGTTAAGTTACCATCGAATAAGTTTTCAGCTGGTTGAGTTGGCCAATAGGAACCAGTGTAAAAGCTAGGTATTGCTGATAAACTATTACCACCTGCAGTAGTATTCCATATTTCAAATATAGTTTCATTTGTTCGTTCAAATAACGTTAGATCTATTATAGAGAACAAGAATATTAAAATTGTATTCCTTGGTCATTAAGAATAACAGTTGATAGTGAAATCAACAACGAATTGTTTTTTTATAAACAAGAAATTTGTTAATAATTTCAAATATCGATAGTCAAACGATAAAAAGTCTAACTAGATTAATAAAAGGTTTCTTTAAGATCTGATCTTCCTAATAAACATATCTTTATTACTCACTTTCGACAGTTCTGTTTTCAAAGCTGTAAACATTAGTATTGGTATTAATCGGCATCAGTCGTAATTGACTTTGGTTTAATTGTGCAAAGAAAAGTATACATTGTTGATTATTTCCAAAATAATTAGCTGTAAAACAGAATGGATTTTCATAGCATCGACATAGACAAATATTGTCTGAACTGATCGATGAAAGATCACTCAACATATAATTTGTATCAATGGGATCAAAATAAGCATTTCTATATACAATAACAGATCTTGCATTCGATACTACCATACAATAAATAAAGAAAATAATTATTGTTGTTGAATACATATGTTCTGAATCAGTTTAACTTGGTTGAAGAACACTTACAGGTCTGTAATAGGAATAAGTTAGAAAATATTCTTAATACAATACTGACGTGAAACCAGTATATATATATATCAAAATACTGAAAAACCTCAAATAATAAGAAAAAATAATTTTTATTATTACACATTTCTAATTTACATAAGTATTGTTCTTTTGACTACATTTCTTTCTACTCACGCTGTTATTTTTGTACTCGAACAAAATTTAAAAAAATATTATAATTGATAATAATCTTCACTTCGTTGTAATCTTGGAATTAAACACATTATATTTATGTTGAAAGTCATATAAATAGTAATATTCAACAGAATGAATCAATCAAAACAAATATATTTGATTTAATGCAACAAGAAGATTTGATCACATTAATGAATAATTTTCTGATTAATAATATATTATTATTGCTTATAACAGTATCATTATATTTGTTAATTAGTCTTTATTTCAATATGAAAAAAAATTGAAGTAGCATCACGATACAACTACAAAAAATGATGACGTCAGTATAGTTAAAGTAGTAAATATAAACATAGTGCGCACAAATATGAATGGATATTATTAATTGTTATTAAAATTAGAATTGCTTCATCTTACTGTTCGATTATTTCACTAATGTTTATGACTAAAATCTTAAACTTTTTATTTTCACATAGATGCGAAATTTTGTTCAATTAATAGATTTTCAAGTAAAATAAAATTGTTAATTAATACAAGAAAAAAACGACATTTATAGTATTATATGTGGTAAGTTGAGATAAATTATCTCAACAAACTTTCTTTAGTAAAATATTTTCCAGTGAATTGTCTTAGTTACAAGTATTCTTTAAATAGCAGATTTTATGAGATTATCTGACTATATGTTATTTCATACAAAAATATTATATTTTTTTGATAAGAACACTTTTTGGATGACTCATATGCCAAGTATTTTTTTTATTCCTCCTAGAAAAAGGTAAATTTTTGTCGTTCTGTTCTCAAACTCATTTTAGTAGACGAATCATGAGTTTATTTTGTTATTTCGTAATTTTTATCGGCGAAAATTATTATATGTTCTGTCTTGTGGATCTGAGTGGTTTTTTCCTACTCCTTCACTGTTTATCATGTGTAAAGCACGTTCTTGTTAATGATTTGACTATATACAGCCGGTCAAGTATTGCATCATACAGGTAGACAAGGTTTTTTCCTTTCTTTTTCTTTTTATAAAATAAATATACTCTTGTTTCATTTAAATTTTTTTTATATTGGTAAGTTTGCATTTTGTTCTTAAACAATACTTATATCAGTTTTAGTCTGAGATTTTTCGCAATTTACGAGATTAATCGTGGAATATTGTCACAAAAGATATGATTGTGTACAGCAAAAAAAACGGATTATACGACTTTATTCCCATTGATTATTTTCTTTGCCGAGGGTTTACTTTCTGCTGATTAGTCAGACCTTACGAAATGAGTAATAAGTATAGTCATAGCAATAGTCAATGTATTCTCAGAACAGAAGTTCAATAAATATATGAATAAATAATAGAAAACAACGAGAGATAGTTGTTTATTTTTTTGATGGACGTTAAAAATATCTGAGTCCCGCAGCTTTTAAGAACGCTGTAATATAAGTACGACCTTCATCGTAATGTTTCTAAAATTTCATTTAACACTCATCAGCTTCAACATTATTATTTTTGAAATTGAAAATCTGTACCTTCTTGCATAAACTATCACAATGCATATTCATTACTCATTGCGTATTGTCTACATAATCAACGGAAAGTAAATCGAGCACTCGGATTTAACATTGTAGTTGTACAAATAGTTACCTGAAAAATGTAATCAAGTAATTAACATATTGAGATTTTAATTCTAATCAATTTACTATTTATAGTAAAAAAATATTAATTTCAAAATTAAATATTTTTAGATAAATACAAACACTTACATAAACACTTCTATGGCTAATCCGGAAGAGAACTTATTCGTTGATACTAATAATGGAGAAGAATCTGGTCAACCACAGAATAACAATGCTGCATATGATACTCCGACTAATTTCAAAGAATTGTGCGATCATGAAATAATTTCACCGGATGATTCTATAACGAATATCTCCGAGATAAATTATGAAGACCAACTATGTTTACCAACTACAGTCTCACCTTTGAACTGTCAAGAGATTCCTCAGCTATCAGAATCATGTAAGTTTAAAAGAATGTTTATTGCATGAGAACAACAATGTCATTATTTTGTTTGAGATAGGTAACACAGTCGAACACTTAGTTGATGTCAGCAATCAAAAGATCCCACAAATAAAGAAAATTAAACGTAAACCAAGTATGTTCTTTTGATTTTTTCTTTTCTTTTAGTGAGTTTATAACTTGTAGATATTGAGTTAAACTGTTCTTATGATAGACAAATACTTAGAAATCAAACTTTTATAAAAATATTCTTTGACAAAAAATTGAATTAAGTCATATAATCTTTAAAAATCTAAGTCCAAATAATTTTTTACTACTCTTAATTTGAGTGTTCATTTGAATCATCATATATCGTTTACTTATAGTCATACAAAAGTTGCTACTGTTCGATGTTGAAGAGAAACAAGAACCGGTTCAAGTGACTCAATACATGTAAGATATCATGATAAACTAAATCAATCTTATTCGATATACTACTTTTAGCTCAAAAATACCCGAGAATTCAACAGTATTCACATATGATCAAACTATAATTCCAATTGATGTCAGTCAACTTGATAAATGTGCAAAAATCACCCATGACGGATACTTTGGCGAAGTTTATTCAGTCAATATCAAAAATCCATGTGAAATTCGTATAGCAGTTAAAGTATGTATTTTATTTATTAACTTTCATTTTTCGACCCTATAACTTGTTCACATTTCTAAAAGATGTTCTTAGTTATTGACAAAATCACTGCTTTCCTTTCAACTATTTCCATTAGAAATCTTTCTTTATTTTATCAATTACTAGTATATTGTTTCATAAAGAAATATGTGTTTTCTAGCGCATTCCATTTCGAACAGATGAAAACAGTCGTTTGTCGACATATGCTGAATTATCAACAATGGAGATGATTAGTTCAGGTAAAACGCCATACATCATCGATTACTACTGCTCAATGATTGATCTTGTAAGCAAAATCTTTTTTTGCACATATAACTCTTTTACCATACTTTATTTCATTAAAAGAATACGCGTGAACTTTGCATATGCATGGAATTAATGGACACATCAGTAAAAAAATTTTATCAAGCTATGCATCGATTACCTGAACTTTCACCTGATAAGATCGATCGTTTCGTACAACGTTGTGCATATAATGTAAGACTATTATTATTAATTTATAATCAATTATATTTTTCTACATAGGTTGTAAGGGCACTTTACTATTTAGAAAGTAAAAGTATTGTTCATCGAGATGTCAAACCGGCAAACATACTGATAAACAAGAATGGTAAAATTAAACTATGTGATTTTGGTATTTGTGGTAACTTAACTGATAGACAATTGGATTTCGATGCAGTTGTAGGTACTGCCATGTATTTACCACCTGAACCAGAAAAATGTGCCATTCAAGGTGATATGTGGGCATTAGGTATCAGTTTAATCGAAATTATTGCTGGAAAACATCCATTTGCTGATTATCAATCTTATGGAATAGCTTATAAAATTAAAGAATGGGAGCCTACAGTTCCAACGACAGTTTCTGTCGAAACACAAGCGTTTATTTTACAACTGTAAGTGGTTTTAAACTTGAGACATCATTTTATTATACTAGCCATTTCTTTTTCGTATTAAGGTTGAGAAAAGAAGCTGGTGAACGACCTCGATCTTATATGGATATTATGAATGATTTATTTATTCGTTATATGACGGAAATACCATCCGATGATGAAATAGATTTTATTCAACGTGTTATCGAAGAAAACTCTTCTTTTTCTTCGATTTCGGGCGGATGAATTTTGATGGAATTGTTAATGGAACAAATAAATACAAAGCTTCGTTGCTTAACACACTTATATTAAACTAAACATTACAATGTGGCCGAGATTAGCGAGAATATTTGATCTTTATTATTCACTTGATTAAAATCAACAAAAGACAAATAATATCATATCTGATTCTTTTCCTTTTTGATTTTTATTATCACTCTGTACCGTTCAGACCTCTTGAAAAGAAAAGTTTTTTAAATAAATAAATAAATAAATATATTTTTATCAATAATGATAAAAAAACTCACTCAAAAAATGTCTGACTCGATTTTATTGCATTCACACACACATACACACGGATTAAACTACAAATGTAGATAAACGAACAGGTCTTCATCAAAGAATAAAACAATCTTGAGATACTCTGATATTGAGGATGGATGTGGGTCAGCTTCTTATTCACTCCATATCCATCTTCTTGAGTCACATCTTGTCCACAGATGAATCTAATAGTGACGGAAAATATCGATTATCGGTAGAGAGCTTTCTGCCGTTTTCGCTGAATTACTTGTTGTTATTTTCTAGTCATACATATTGTCATAATTATACGTAATTGCAAAATTTTCAATCATCATATTCTCAAATAACATAAAATTGTTAATTAATAAAAGAAAAAACCGTTAACTAGCTCACTAGTTATAAAACGGCATTTATAGTATTATGTGTGGTAAGCTGAGATATTCTTGTTTTAATTACAATCTAATGTGAATATGTTAGATCACTTCTTTTGTTAAATAGTCTATTTAATACGTAACAAGTTTAACTATTTACTGATTCACACACACTAACGTAAACATAATCTCTCTCTCTATATATATATACTAGCTGGATATTTCCCATATCATATTATGATAAAATACCTGAGTTATATATATAAGAAACCTTAACAAGGAAAATACCAATAAAACATATCGAGGACACGCAACAGAACGAAAGAAAGATCATATACATAGAAAAGAAAGAAAAGAATATATGTGGAATAATTCCTTGTAAATGTAATAAGGAATATTCCATAACACAATAGTTCTCTAAATAAAATTAAATATGAAACAACCGTATTTCTTAGATTAAGCTTTAAACATACTCAATTAAAAATAGTTATTATTTTGATTATATACAACAAATCTTAATCCTATTTGAATTTATTATATAAGCTTTATACTATCTTCAATAAGATTTGATAATACCAAGGATATTTATTAACCGTTATAAAGTTCTTCTTTTACGAATAAGATAGACTATCATCATTTAAGTGGTCGACACAATAAATAAAATGGTCAGCAAGTAAAATGAATTAAATGGCAAGTATACAGATCAATTTGTTTTATAATGTGATTCACTTTTTTTTCTTTCTTTACGCTACGTTGTACAGATAACAAGTAAAACATGCACATATATCTTTTCTTTTTTTATGTTAGAGTACATGTTTCACACGAGTTTTCTCTTGTTTTGATCAAGATATTGTCCCTTTTTATTATGTTTTCTTCCAGGTGTCATAGATTCTCCCCTAAGTTGTTCATATACATATATTTATCTTTGATCTGCTAGAGCAATCTCCCTCTAATATCGTTTCTGTACTTCCAGCTTCCTGTCAACGAATGAACAAGATATATGTGATACAAGTTGCTTAATATGAAAGTAAGGGTAAGAGTAGATGTGCATGTGAGTAAGGAATACAGATCCATATCAACACCCACCCTCAAATTAGAAAGGTTTAAAACATCCAGCGCATAGCATATGGCAGTTTAAATAGTTCACACAAAACTTTCTTATACTTACATTGTTTTCTATGTCTCATAAGATATCAAAAAGAAAGTAATAGAAGATAATGCATAAAACTTACAAAGTGTTATTTTTATATTACAATTGCTCAATAAATACATTTGACGAAAATAGTAAAAAGCAAAGATAAGGGAATCGTCTTCACGAACTTTCTCCAACGAAATATTTTTCAGTAAATTGTGTTATTTACAAGTATTCTCTAAAATAACAGATATTATGAGATTATCTGATTATATGTTATTTTATAAAAAAAACGTTTATACTTTTGTTTGATCAAAATAGTTTCTGGATGATTCATATGCAAAATATTATTTTTTATGCCTCGTACAGAAAGATAATTTTTTATCGTTCTCTTCTCAAACCCATTTTAGTAGACGAAGTATGTGTTTATTTGTTATTTCGCAATTTTTATTGGCGAAAATTATGATTTGTTTTTGTCATATTGATTTGTGTCCCTTTTTCCTACTCTTTTACTGTCTACCATGTGTAAAGCATGTTGTTGTTAATGATTTAACTAAATACAGCCCGTAAAATATTGGACCATAAAGGTAGACAAGTGTTTTTCCTTTCTTTTCTTTTTTATACAAATAATTGTATACGTCTTTTATTTGAATTATTTTTCTCCATTGGTAAGGCTGCATTTTGTTCTTAAACAACACTTATATGGGTTTCAGTCTGACATTTTTGTAATTTATAAAGTTAATCGTGGAATATTACCATCGACAAGTGAGGAAAAAAACTCAGTTAGTTAAGATGTAACCGAGTACAACAAAGAAAACACACAAACTTTCTTGCTACTATTGAAGTTCGTGAATAGTTTTATAATTTATCTTTTCGAGCATACAGAAAAATATTGTGATTGAAACTTTTTTATCATCGTAAATATTTGTGTTTTATATAAAAAATAGTTTTAACTTTAAAATTAAATATAGGATCGTTGATAAAATCAATTAATAGATCTATTCCTACATTATCTAGTATTGAAGCTTGTTTTCTATCATTTATAATTCTTTTATAATAATAACTATTTATTTTAATTTAAGTCATCTCAAATTACTTTTTACCAATTATTCACTGAATATATTCGAGGAAAAAAAACTAGTATACGATCTATTTAAATATAAAAATATCTGTTTTCATCATTGAGCACCTATATAAATATAGTATGTAACATTGTAGTTGTAAAAAAATTGTCTGAAAAATGTAATCAAGTAATTAACATATTGAGATTTCAATTTTAATTAATTTCTTATTTATAGAAAAAAATTATTAATTTCGAAATTAAATATTTTTAGATAAATACAAACACTTACATAGATATTTCTATGGCTAATCCGCAAGAGAACTTATTCGTTGATGCTAATATTGGAGAAGAATCTGGTGAACTAGAGAATAACAAGGCTATAAATGAAACACTATGTGTACTAGAGACACAGCCTTCTGATACGAATATAGGACCTATCAATTTGCCAAGAAATATTTCGACACCAGAAAAAACCGTAGAATTTACATTTGGTGTTGCGACTCCAACACCAACCGGAGTCTCACCTTTTAACTACCATGAGATTCATCAACCATCAGAAGAAGGTAAGTTTAAAAGAGTGTTCATTGCATGAAAATCAGAATGTAATTATTTTGTTTGAGATAGGTAACAAAGTCGGACACGTAGCTGATGTCAACGATCAAAATATCCCACCACTAAAGAGAATTAAACGTAAACCAAGTATGTTCTTCTGATTTTTGATTTTCTTTTAGCAAGTCTATGACTTGTAGATGTTCATTAATAGTGTTCTTAAGATAGATATTGATTTAGAAATTAAATTGTTATAAAAATATCCTTTGATAAAAAATTGAATTAAGTCATATAATCTTCAAAAATTTTAAATCTAAATAATTTTTTACTAGTCATAATTTGATTGTTCCTTCGACCACCATATATTATTTGCTTGTAATTATAGAAGGAATTCCTCTGGACATTCCTGAAGAGAAACAAGAACCGGATAAACCGGCCAAATACATGTGAGATATCATGATAAACTAAATCAATCTCATTCGATATACTACTTTTAGCTCAAAAATACCCGAGAATTCAACAGAATTCGAATACGATCAAACTATAATTCCAATTGATGTCAGTCAACTTGATAAATATGCAAAACAAATCGATAAAGGAAATTTTGGCACAGTTTATTCAGTCAATATCAAGAATCCACGTGAAATTCGTATGGCAGTTAAAGTACGTAATTTATTTATTAGCTTTCATTTTTCGACCGTATAACTTGTTCACATTTCTAAAAGATGTTCTTAGTTATTGAGAAAATCATTACTATCCTTTCAACTATTTCCATTAGAAATCTTTCTTTATTTTATCAATTACTAGCATATTGTTTGACAAAGAAATATGTGTTTTCTAGCGCATTCCTTTGCAAACAAGAGAACACCATCGTTTGTTGATAGATTTTGAATTATCAGCAATGGAGATGATTGGCTCAGGTAAAACGCCATACATCGTCGGTTACTTCGGCCCAATGATTGATACTGTAAGTACAGTCTTTTTTTGTGCATATAACTCTTACCATATTTTCTTTATTTAAAAGAAAACGAGTGAACTTTGCATATGCATGGAATTAATGGACACATCAATAGCAAAATTCTATCAAGCTATGCATCGATTACCTGAACTTTCATCTGACAAGATCGATCGTTTCGTACAACGTTTTGCACATAATGTAAGAGTATTGTTATTAATTTATAATCAACTCTATTTTTCTACATAGGTTACAAGAGGACTTGACTATTTGAAAAGTAAAAATATTGTTCATCGAGATGTCAAGCCGGCAAATATACTGATAAACGAAGATGGTGAAATTAAACTATGTGATTTTGGTATTTGTGGTAACTTAACTGATACAGAATTAGACTTTGATACATGTGTGGGTACTGTTATGTACTTACCACCTAAACCAGAAAACTGTGCCATTCAAGGTGATATGTGGGCATTAGGTATCAGTTTAATCGAAATTATTGCTGGAAAACATCCATTTGCTGCTTATAAACTTGATGGAATAGCTTTTAAAATTTTGGATTGGGAACCTGTAGTTCCAACGACAGTTTCAGTCGATACACAAGCATTTATTTTACAACTGTAAGTAGTTTCAAACTTCAAATACCATTGTATTATAGTAGTAATTTTTTTTCATATTTAGGTTGAGAAAAGAAGCTGATGAACGACCTCGATCTTATATGGATATTATAAATGATTCATTTATTTGTAATATGGCGGCAATACCATCAAGTGATGAAATAGATTTTATTCAACATGTTATCAAAGAAGCAAATAAATAATAAACTTCGGTGATTGATACACATATAATGAACTAAACAATATAATCTGTAAAAAATTGGCTAGAATTGTTTATTGTTTTCTTGTAGTCGTCCGTCATATTCTAATTAGTGTTTTTTTTTGCTTTTTTCTTTTTCTTTTTCTTTTTCTTTCGCTTTCTTTTGTACGTTAGGATCGAATAATCGCAGTTATTATGCAAACAAAAAAAAAAAATTAGTTAGATTATTTGATTTTTATTATTCACTTGATTAATATCAACAAAAGACAAATAATACCATATCTGATTTTTTGCTTATTTATTTTTATCATTACTTTGCACTATTCAAACTTCTTGAAAAAGAAATTTTTCAAATAAATAAATAAATATATTAGTATTAACAGACATGAAAGAACTTACTCAAAGAATGTCTGACTCGATTTTATTGCATTCACACACACACATACACACGGATTAAACTACAAATGTAGATAAACGAACAGGTCTTCATCAAAGAATAAAACAATCTTGAGATACTCTGATATTGAGGATGGATGTGGGTCAGCTTCTTATTCCCTTCATACACATCTTCTTGAGTTATTCCTTGTGCATACATAGATTCAATGTTGACGGAAAAAATCGATTATCAGTAGAGAGCTTTCTGCCGTTTTCGCTGAATCACTTGTTGTTATTTTCTAGTCATACATATTGTCATAATTATACGTAATTGCAAGATTTTGTTCAATCATCATATTCTTAAATAACATAAAATTGTTAATTAATAAAAGAAAAAAACGTTAACTAGCTCACTAGTTATAAAACGGCATTTATAGTATTATGTTTGGTAAGCTGAGATATTCTGGTTTTAGTTACAATCTAATATCTATAGTTCTCTAAAAAGAATTAAATGCGAAACAAACTTATTTCTTAGATCAAGTTTTAAACATAGTCAGTTAAGTCTTATTTCTATTTGAATTTATTATATAAGCTTTATACTATCTTCAATAAGATTTGATAATACCAAGGATATTTATTCACTGTTATAAAGTTCTTCTTTTATGAAAAAATAGGCTATCATCATTTAAGTGGTCGACACAATAAATGAAATGGTCAGCAAGTAAAATGAATTAAATGGCAAGTATACAGATCAATTTGTTTTATAATGTGATTCACTTTTTTTTCTTTCTTTACGCTACGTTGTACAGATAACAAGTAAAACATGCACATGTATCTTTTCTTTTTTTATGTTAGAGTACATGTTTCACACGAGTTTTCTCTTGTTTTGATCAAGATATTGTCCCTTTTTAGTATGTTTTCTTCCAAGTGTCATAGATTCTCCCCTAAGTTGATCTCTCGCTAATATCGTTTCTCTACGTTCAGCTTCCTGTCAACGAATGAACAAGAGAGATGCAATACAAGTTGCTTAATATGAAAGTAAGGGTAACAGTGTGTGTTTGTAAATAGGGGATAGACATCCACACCCACACAAATTGTTCTTATACTTGGGTTATTTTCTATTTCTCATCAGATATCAAAAAACTTAATCAAAGATAATGTATAAAACTTACTAAGTGTTATTTTTTCATTATAACTGCTCAATAAATACATTTTGTGATAAAAATAAAAAACAAAGATAACGAAATCGGCCCGACAAACTTTCTCTAGTAAATTATTTTCCAGTAAATTGTCTTAATCATAAGTATTTTTTAAATAACAGACTTTATGAGATTATTTGACTATATGTTATTTTATAAAAAAAGTTTATACTTTTGATTGATCAAAATACTTTTTATATGAGTCATATGCCAAATATTATTTTTTATTCCTCGTACAGAAAGACAAACTCTCATCGTTCTATGCTCAAACTCATTTTAATAAATGAAGCATGATTTTATTTGTTATTTCGCAATTTTCATCGGCGAAAATTATAATATGCTCTGTCTTGTAAATCTGAGTGGTTTTTTCCTACTCTTTTACCGTCTACCATATGTAAAGCATGTTGTTGTTAATGATTTAACTACATACAGCTCGTAAAATATGGTACCATAAAGGTAGCTAAGGATTTTTCCTTTCTTTTCTTTTCTATATAAATAATTGTATGCGCGTTTTATTTGAATTATTCTTCTCGATTCGTAAGGCTGCATTTTGCTTTTAAAAACACTTATATGGGTTTCAGTCTGACATTTTTTGTAGTTTATAAAGTTAATCGTGGAATATTACCATCGACAAGTGAGGGAAAAACTCAGTTGGTTTAGATGTGACCGTATATAATGGAAAAAACACAAACTTTTTTGATGCTGTTGAAGTTCGTGAATACTTTCATAACTTATCATATCGAGCATACAAATAAGTATCCTGATTGAAGCTTTCCTATTGACGTAAATATTTGTGTTTTATATAAAAAATAGTTTTAACTTTAAAACTAAATGTAGGATCGTTGATAAAATCAATTAATAGATCTATTCCTACATTATCTAGTATTGAAGCTTGTTTTCTATCATTTATAATTCTTTTATAATAATAACTATTTATTTTAATTTAAGTCATCTCAAATTACTTTTTACCAATTATTCACTGAATATATTCGAGGAAAAAACAACTAGTATTCGATTTGTTTAAATCAAATAAATTTCTGTTTTCATCATTGAGCACCTATATAAATACAGTATATAATATTGTAGTTGTAAAAAAATTGTCTGAAAAATGTAATCAGTAATTAACATATTGAGATTTTAATTTCAATTAGTTTATTATTTATAGAAAAAAATATTAATTTTAAAATAGAATATTTTTAGATAAATACAAACACTTGCATAAACACTTCTATGGCTCATCCGCAAGAGAAGGTATTCGTTGATACTAATAATGAAGAAGAATGTGATCAACCACAGAATAGCGACGCTTTAGATGAAGCACTATGTGTACCAGAGTCACAGTCTGTTGGCACGAACATAGGAGCTACCAATTTGTTGACAAATACTTCTACACTAGAAGAAAAAGCGGAAATTTCATTTGGTGTTGCGACTCCAACACCAACTGGAGTCTCACCTTTCAACAACCATGAGATTCCTCAACCATCAGAATCAGGTAAGTTTAAAAAAATGTTTATTGCGTGAGAACAAGAATGTAATTATTTTGTTGGAGATAGGTAAGACAGTCGAACAAGTAGCTGCTCTTAGCGTTCCAAATATCCAACCAAGAGAGCAAACTGGACGTAAACGAAGTATGTTCTTTTGATTCTTTGTTTTCTTTTAGTGAGTCTATAACTTGTCGATATTGAGTTAAACTGTTCTTAAGATAGATAAATATTTAGAAATTAAACTTTTATAAAAATATTCTTTGACAAAAAATTGAATTAAACCATATAATCTTTAAAAATCTAAGTCTAAATAATTTTTTACTACGCTTAATTTGAGTGTTCATTTGAATCATCATATATCATTTACTTGTAGTCCTACAAAATTTTCTGCTGTTCGATGTTGAAGAGAAACAAGAACCGGTTCAAGTGACTCAATACATGTAAGATATCATGATAAACTAAATCAATCTCATTCGATATACTACTTTTAGCTCGAAAATACCCAAGAATTCGACAGTATTCAAATATCGTCAAAGCCCAATTCCAGTAGATATCAATCAAGTTCATAAATGTGCAAAACAAATCGATCAAGGACGCTTTGGCAAAGTTTATTCAGCCAATATCAAAAATCCACGTCAAATTCGTATGGCAGTTAAAGTACGTATTTACTCATTAACTTTGATTTTTTGACCGTAACTTTATCAGATTTCGAAAAGTCCAGCGTTGCCCTTATTTATAGAGAAAACCATCAGTTGCTATGCAAGTATTTCTATTAGGAATCTTTCTTTATTTTATCAATTACTAGTATATTGTTTCATAAAGAAATATGTGTTTTCTAGCGCATTTCATTTCAAAAAGATGAAAATAGTCGTTTGTCGACATATGCTGAATTATCAACAATGGAAATGATTGGTTCAGGTAATACTCCTTACATCATCGATTACTACTGCTCTATGATTGATAGTGTAAGCAAAATCCTTTTTTTTGCACATATAACTCTTTTACCATATTTTATTTCTTTAAAAGAGCAAGCATGAACTTTGCATATGCATGGAATTAATGGACACGTCAGTAGCAAAATTCTATCAAGCTATGCATCGATTTTTTTTACCTGAACTTTCACCTAAGAAGCTCAATCGTTTCGTACAACGTTGTGCGTATAATGTAAGACTATTATTATTAATTTATAATCAATTATATTTTCCTGCATAGGTTGTAAGGGCACTTGACTTTTTGAAAAGTAAAAATATTGTTCATCGAGATGTCAAGCCACTAAATATACTGATAAACAAGGATGGTAAAATTAAACTATGTGATTTTGGTATTTGCGGTAATTTAACTGATAGACAATTGGATTTTGATATATGTGTGGGTACTGCTATGTACTTACCACCTAAACCAGAAAAATGTGCCATTCAAGGTGATATGTGGGCATTAGGTATCAGTTTAATCGAAATTATTGCTGGAAAACATCCATTTGCTGGTTATAAACTTGATGGAATAGCTTTTGTAATTTTAGCATGGGAGCCTACAGCTCCAACGACAGTTTCAGACGATGCACAAGCATTTATTTTACGATTGTAAGTACTTTTAAACTTCAAATACCATTGTATCATAGTAGCAAATTTTTTCATATTAAGGTTGAGAAAAGAAGCTGGTGAACGACCTCGAAATTATATGGATGTTATAAATGATTCATTTATTTGTAATATGGCGGCAATACCATCAAATGATGAAATAGATTTTATTCAACGTGTTATCAAGAAAACAAATCAATAATAAACTTCGTTGCTTAATGGACATATAATGAACTAAATAATATAATCTGGAGAAAATTAGTGAGAGTATCCAATCTTTATTATTCACTTGATTGAAACCAACAAAAGACAAATAATATCATATCTGGTTTTTTCCTTATTTATTTTTATATCACTTTGTACTATTCAAACTTCTTGAAAAGAAAAGTTTTTTAAATAAATAAATAAATATATTTTTATCAATAATGATAAAAAAAACTTACTCAAAAAAATGTCTGACTCTATTGTATTGCATTCACACACACATACACACGGATTAAACTACAAATGTAGATAAACGAACAGGTCTTCATCAAAGAATAAAACAATCTTGAGATACTCTGATATTGAAGATAGATGTGGGTCAGCTTCTTATTCCCTTCATACACATCTTCTTGAGTTATTCCTTGTGCACACATGGATCTAATAGTGACGAAAAATATCGATTATCAGTAGAGAGCTTTCTACTGTTTGCGCCGCGTTACTAATTGTTATTTTCTAGTCATATATATTGTGATGGTTATAAATCAAAGTGAAAAACATGCGTACAGCTGGGTTATCACAATAGAAAGAGCAAAAAAATCTATGACGATAGCACCACTCGTATTGTAAGAGGTCGATAGTTTGTTAGGAGATTCTTATCGCGTGCTGTAAAAGAAAAAGAAACTCGTCATATTAAGTTTATATTTTCAAAGAAATACACTCAGGATGTCACTAGAGCAACAGATACAAAGAGAAAGTGAACGATTTCAAGTTCTATTCGATTGTTTATCTGACATAAGATGATGCTAAGATACAATATCAGAACCATACTCTCATATAACTATATGTCAAAATGAGGCTCATCTCGTGCAAAATGCGAGTGTACGTTCATTTCTTGTTTACTTTACACCCATCCCATACCCATACTCATCGACACCCACATTCTTTCAAATATGCTATAAGTACGAAATAGATTTAAAAAAAAAAACAGTCATATTATAATACTGGTTCTCGACACCACCAATAGTACTAATACTATTAACGAAAAGAACACTCATAATATCATTCAAATAAGAAACTTTGAGAAAAATATTTGTAAAGGTCATGCAGTGTGGGTTATTTGCTGAGTATTCATATTCACTCACCCTTAAGATTATGTGACTAATTGTATTATCACTTGTAATAATAGTATCATGTCATCATGGATAACTGCTATATAAGCGATCAGTATCAACGTTTGAAGCGTTAATTAATCATTGTCTACCTCTATTTTACCGAAATAGTTTATTTTATTTAATCTAATGTTATCTTTTGCAATTCTTTTAATTTAAAAGTACAGTTTATCTAATATTATTCATCCTCATTCACATTAAAATTCAATTAAAAAAAAACAAATATTCACTCAAAAATTATACTGAGTAGAATCATTTATTATTATACGGGAAGTCATGTTTTTGAAAAACATAAACAGATATTTCTTTTGTATTAGAAATATTTTGCCAACTAAAAGCTTCAGTTAAAATCAAACTGGAAAGTTTTGAAAAGATATTTCTTTTCCTGTAAGTATTTATCAATAGTTTTCACGTATGAAAAATAATAGAAAATGAAAACTCAATGAATCATATATATATTCTTACTCAAGAATATCTTTGAAATATCTATTATACATGGATCAACAGTCATGTTTGTGTTTATACTGAATCATACAGTTATCATCTTCTCAAAACGTACATTATCGTCCTGTTTTTTTATATATTAGGTGCATACTGTATACGATATAGGCACTTTCTACTGATGTGATGTGCCTAGGTGAATATTTAGATCGTTAGTGACGATAAATTATTTTTTCAGCTTGTCATTTTATATAAATGAATATACTTCAGTTGAATATCGATTTGAAAGAGAACAATAAATTCTATCATAGAATTTCTATGTACGATGTACACGAGTTTAAGTGATGAAATTGTATATAGAATTAATTTTTAATTAATAATCTTTTCAATTTTACTTGTGATGTAGTATTTTGTAGAATATTACATAATCAATGCATATGCGTAGAAAAAATATTGTGTATATTTTTTTTCTTTCCTCTTCTAATGTGATAAAAATAGTACAGTAAGGTTTTTTTTCATACGTATATATTATGACTCAACCTGGGAAGTATGACAATTTTATGTATAGAATAGGTGCAACGTAAAATACTAATGATATAAAAAAAAGGAAGTGACTAAGTCATGTTGTTATATAAACGAAAGAATGAAAAGATTGACGTTTGCTATTTAAGAAATATTAAATTAGCGCTTCTCAGACTAATCCTTGATTAGATTTGATAATTGTAAGTAAAAAGAAACAATTCAGTATGTCATTATCTATGAAGATGCCAGTAAAAGTTGAGTTTCAATAGAGAATTGTTAGAATACATGTTGAAATGGTTCTTTTTAGATAAGATTCTAGTTTGTATATTATCTCTCAATATCACAGAAGAATCTTCAAATTTTCAAAATTTTCACGTGTGGATTTTAAAATTTGTATTGATTTGATATTTGCCACCCTGTGCTAACCATTGCTGAAATCAAATTTCTCGTAGCTCTTAATGAACTCGAAAAAAGTCCAAAATACTATGATTTTTATGTGTACTTTCATCAGCCGATTCGAGTATTTCCACTGGCGATTCGCCTATGATGCGTTCCAGGGAAGTTCCAAGTACAACTCAACGAGCTCTATCGAATGATGTGCTCAGATTTTTCGTAGCTCAAAGTAAAGTTTTTTGACTTACAGATGGCGCCACCAAAATCGAAAAAAATTTCCTTTGAGCCACGAAAAATCTGAGCACACCATTCGATAGAGCTCGTTGAGTTGTAATTGGGGCTCCCCTGAAACGCATCATAGGCGAGTCGCCAGTGGAAATACTCGAATCGGCTGCTTACTTCACTTACGTATTTGAAGAAGGACAAAGTAAATGAATTTGATTTTTCTAATTGGTACTAATATTCTATGATCATTTAATTCTATTTATTCATTATTTCATTGAAATTCTGGATAACGAAATCTTTCTCAATGATCATGATGACCATGAATTTGACGATCTGTTGAAACTGTTTCAAGGAGTAATGAAAAAACTTTCGAACCATTTCGTACCTTTGTTCTCGATTGTTTAGAAATTTACAAAATTCGACGACTTTCTAAATGAAATACCTTTTTTTAAAGGTCTGAGCGAAAATCACATTAAAATAATTGCTAGTAGAGCAGTAACTAAACAATATCATAAAAATCAAGTTATTCAACACGAAGGTTAAATTAGTGACTTTGTTTTATATTTTGTTAGATGGTAAAAACAAACATAAAGTTTCCTTCATTTATCAAAACTTATGTTTTAGGTCACGTGAATTGTTATGCAACATCAAATGGTTCACGTGTTGAAATGGCATTATTGAAAACGGGGGATTTCTTTGGTGGAAAAGGCGTTTTCAATAATGCAGTAAATATTGTAACATTAGAAGCTGCTGATGATGTTATTTGTTTGGTTATTAACCGTAAAATCTTTAATGATGAATTACGAGACATCATGAATCACCTTCAACAAGCTTATTATCTATTTGAATTATTCAAAAACCAGCTCTAAATATTATTTCATCATAAAAATTTTCGTTTCATCGAAAGTTTTATTATAAAAAAAATCATCAAAAATAAAAAGAAGAATTTTTACTTTAATATCATCATATATAAAATCTTAATAGTTATCAAAAATTGACACCGATGACAAGCTTAATAAAAAAATAACTGTTAGAATTATAAATGAAATAACTAACTACGTATGAAATCAGTATGAAACATAAGCATGCAAAATAGTTGATAACGTTTGAGTTTTTTTCAAATTGTTCAGGAATTTCTTTTGAATTATCTTTCTTAAGCTGCTCATATCGATCATAATCTAAGTGCCAATTTTTCTCTTTTTAAAACGGAATTTAACTATTTATAATAATCGATACATTTTATCATTTCTTCATTGTCCTTAAAAGAAAAATTTTGAAAAAGATTATGAGAATATCAGTAATCTACTAATTTTCAATTATAGAAATCTTTTGATGAAATCTCATCATTTGTAGTTCATGCTTAAAATGTAAAACATTCAACATATTGAAAAGTTCTTCATTTGTCGCCTTTCCCAATTTATCTTTACATTATCGGCATGTATAGCATTTACATTTATAGTTGAAGTCATAGAATTTGTGCAGATTTTACGTTTATATCAGGAGCATAAATAGATCGAGGTCATAGAGGGTGTAGGTGTGGGTGTAACTAGATGATGATCATAAATACCCACACCCACCCCAAGATATTTGTGTTGTTTTCTATTTCTCATAAGATATCAAAAAAAAAATTAATGAAAGATAATGCATAATATTTACAAAGTGTTATTTTTTATTACAATTGCTCAATTACAATTGCTCAATAAATACATTTGATGAAAAAAATAAAAACCAAAGATAACGAAATCATCTTAGCTACAAGTATTCTCTAAAATAACAGACATTATGAGAATATCTGACTATATGTTATTTTATAAAAAAATGTTTATATTTTTGTTTGATCAAAATACTTTTTGGATGATTCATATGCGAAATATTATTTTTTTATGTCACGTACAGAAAGACAAATTTTCATCGTTCTGTTCTCAAACTTATTTTAGTAGACGAAGTAGGAGTTTATTTGTTATGTCGCAGTTTCTATCGGCGAAAATTATGATATGTTCTGTCTTATAGATCTGAAATGGTTTTTTCCTACTCATTTACTGTCTACCATGTGTAAAGCACGCTGTTGTAACAGACAAGGGTTTTTCCTTTCCTTGCTTTTCTTTTCTTTTCTTTTTTATAAAAATAATGGTATACGTATTTCATTTAAATTTTTTCCTCGGTTGGTATGGTTGCATTTTTTTCTTAAACAAAACACATCAGTTTTATTCTGACATTTTTTGTAATTTATAAAGTTAATCATGGAATATTATCACCGATAAGTGAGGGAAAAAACTCAGTTAGTTTAGATGTAACCGAGTACAACAAAAAAACACACAAACTTTCTTGCTGCTATTGAAGTTCGTGAATACTTTTATAATTTATCTTGTCGAGCATACCGAAAAATATTATTTATTGAAACTTTTTATCATCGTAAATATGTGTGTTTTATATAAAAAATAGTTTCAGCTTTAAAATTAAATATAGGATCGTTGATAAAATCAATTAATAGATCTATTCCTACATTATCTAGTATTGAAGCTTGTTTCCTATCATTTATAATTCTTTTATAATAATAACTATATATTTTAATTTAAGCTATCGCAAATTACTTTTTAACAATTATTCACTGAATATATTCGAGGAAAAAACAACTAGTATACGATCTATTTAAATAAAATAATTTTCTGTTTTTATTATCGAGCATCTATACAAATATAGTATGTAACATTGTAGTTGTAAAAATAGTTGTCTAGAAAATATAATCAGTAATTAACATATTGAGATTTTAATTTCAAATGGCTTATTATTTATAGAAAAAATAGTAATTTCGAAATTAAATATTTTTAGATAAATACAAACACTTACATAAACACTTGCATGGCTCATCTACAAGAGAATCTATCCGTTGATAATGATAATGGAGAAGAATCTGGTCAACCACAGATTAACAAGGCTATAAATGAAGCAATATGTTTACCACAGACACCGCCTTTTGGTACAAATGTAGAAGCCACCAATCCCTTGACAAGTCCTCATACGACAGAAAAAGCAGTAGAACCTCCATGTGATCTTAAGACTGCAATACTAACTACAATCTCACTTTTTAACAACCCTGAGATTCATCAACCATCAGAAGAAGGTAAATTTAAAAAAATGTTTATTGCATTAGAACAAGAATATAATTATTTTGTTTGAGATAGGTAACAAAGTCGAACAAGCAACTGATGCCAATAATCAAAAGATCCAACCAGAAGAGCAAAGTAAGATTGACAGACGCGAGCTACGTGGGTTCTTTTGGTTTTCTTTTAACGAGTCTTTAACTTGTAGAGATTGATAAATATTTGAAAACTAATTTTTTTATAAAATTATTCTTTGACAAAAAGTTGAATTAAACCATATAATCTTTAAAAACTTTAAATTTTAATATTTTCTTACTACTCTTAATTTGATCGCTCGTTCAACCATCATATATCGTTTACTTATAGTCATACAAAAGTTGCTACTGTTCGATGTTGAAGACAAAAAAGAACCGGATAAAGTGGCCGAATATTAGTAAGATATCATGATAAACTAAATCAATCTTATTCCATATACTATTTTTAGCTCGAAAATACCCGAGAATTCAACAGAATTCGAATATGATCAAAGCACAGCTCCAGTTCATGTCAAGCAACTTCACAAACGTGCAAAAAAAATTGGTAGTGGAAGTTTTGGCGTAGCTTATTCAGTCTTAATCAAAAACCCTCGTAAATTTCGTATAGCAGTTAAAGTATGTATTTACTCATTAACTTTCATTTTTCGATGGTATCTTAATCAGATTTCTAAAAGATGTTCTTAGTTATTGACAAAATCTTTACTTTCCTTTCAACTATTTCCATTAGAAATCTTTCTTTATTTTATCAATTATTAGCATATTGTTTCATAAAGAAATATGTGTTTTCTAGCGCATTCGATTTCAAACAAAAGAAAACCATCGTTTGTCGACATACTTTGAGTTATCAACAATGGAGATGATTGGTTCAGGTAACACTCCATACATCGTCGATTACTACTGCTCTATGATTGATGTGGTAAGTAGAATTTTTTTTTGCACATATAACTCTTTTACCATATTTTATTTCATTAAAAGAACAAGCGTGAACTTTGTATATGCATGGAATTAATGGACACATCAATAGCAAAATTCTATCAAGCTATGCATCGATTTTTTTTACATGAACTTTCACCTGAGAAGCTCAATCGTTTCGTACAACGTTGTGCATATAATGTAAGACTATTATGATTAATTTATAATCAACTATATTTTTCTACATAGGTTGTAAGGGCACTTTACTATTTAGAAAGTAAAAATATTGTTCATCGAGATGTCAAACCGGCAAATATACTGGTAAACAAGGATGGTAAAATTAAACTATGTGATTTTGGTATTTGTGGTAATTTAACTGATAGACAATTGGATTTCGATGCAGTTATAGGTACCGTCATGTATTTACCACCTAAACCAGAAAAATGTGCTGTTCAAGGTGATATGTGGGCATTGGGAATCAGTTTAATCGAAATTATTGCTGGAAAAAATCCATTTACTGCTTATTCATTTGGTGAAGTACTTGATAAAATTTCAAAATGGGAACCTGTAGTTCCAACGACAGTTTCAATCGTTGTACAAGCATTTATTTTACAATTGTAAGTACTTTTAAACTTGGAACATCATTTTATCATACTAACCATTTTTTCGTATTAAGGTTGAAAAAAGAAGCTGATGAACGACCTCGATCTTATAAAGATATTATAAATGATTCATTTATTCGTCATATGACGTCAATACCATCAAGTGATGAAATAGATTTTATTCAACATGTTATCAAGAAAACAAATAAATTATAAACGTCGTTGCTTAATGGACATATAATGAACTAAACAATATAATCTGTAAAAAATTGCCTAAAATATTTAATCTTTATTATTCACTTGATTAATATCAACAAAAGACAAATAATATCATATCTGACTTTTTCCTTATTTATTTTTATTATCACTCTGTACCGCTCAGACTTCTTGAAAAAAAAAGTTTTCAAATAAATAAAAAAATATATTAGTATTAACAGACATGAAAGAACTTACTCAAAAAATGTCTGACTCGATTTTACTGCATTCACACACACACACACATACGAATTAAACTACAAATGTAGATAAACAAACAGGTCTTCATCAAAGAATAAAACAATCTTGAGATATTCTAATATTGAGAATGGACATGAACGCGCACGACGCTTGCACGCGAAAAAAAATCTTTTCGTTTTGTTCTCGTCTGATTGAATTACTCATATGTATTAACAAAAATAAAAATATTCTGTTAGTGAGATTGATTTATTAAGAAAATACATAGAAGATATTAATGAAAAACAAAAGATTATCTAATTTTAATATCAAACTTGCTTTTTGCATCAAAATGAGATTAAAACTAAACAAAATAAATCAGATAAAAGTATCAAGAGAAAAAATATATATATGGGTATTATTTTAATAATTTCTAAGATATAAATGTCTCTTATAAAATCAGTCAAAGGCAAAGACCAACGCGAAAAATATGAAAAAATTGATCTTCGAATACGAAACATGGTCGAAGAATTTCATACTGTTTCTAGGAACGACTATTTTAAAATAGCCAGATCAGTGTTTAATTTTTGAACCAGTACATTCTTTATTCTGAACTATTGTTCACTTAGCGTATTTGTTTGTTTATTGTAAATAAATACTATTTATCTCTGTGAATAATTTAAATCAATATATTTTTTGAAATTAAGAACAATTTTTTTTAACAGCAGCTAGGCATAAATTTCCGCCCGTTCATAGTTCAAACGAAATTTAAGAAAAATATATTTTATCATCTGTTTCTCAATTCGCGCGCAAGTGTCTATACGCTCAACCGTCGTGCGCGTATACGTCCGCGCGTAACTGTCGGTCAATCGCTTCTTGAGTCACGTCTTGTGCATACATAGATTCAATGGTGACGGAAAAAATCGACTATCAATAGAGAGCTGCTACCGTTTGCACTGCGTTATTTATTATTATTCTCTAGTTATATAATGCTATGACTATAAATCAAAGTGAAAAAACGCACGCACACTTTTGTCGTCACAACAGAAAGAACAAAAAAAAATCTATGGCAATATAACTGCTTGCATTGTGTGCGCTCGATAGTTTGTTAGGAGAGAGAATAAAACGTCGTCATTCTATTCTTATCGCGTGTTGTAAAAGAAAAAGAATTCGTCATATTAATTTTATATTGAGAAATAAGTTCACTCAGGATGTCGCTGGAGCAACAGATACAAAGAGAAAGTGAACGATTTCAAGTTTTATTCAATCGTTTATCTGATACAAGATGGAGTGAAGATGCAACACCAGAAGCACAGTCTCATTTAGCTGCTTGTCAAAATCAGGCTCATCTCGTACAAAGTAATATTAATGCATTTAATATGGCAGCCGAGAAAGAGCATAAACGTTTGCTCGATATCAAGGGGCATGGTGTCAAACACGCATGGTACAAGATTCGAGGTAAACTAGATCAACGGTTGGATGAACAAGAAAAACTTTGGCTACAAAAATTTGAAAAATGTAAAGTAGAAGAAGAACATTTGGCTGTTTTGAAGAATGAAATTCACTCTGCTCAAACATATTTACAGCAATGTCAAAGTGCTTATCAAGAGTATGTCAAATCTAAACGTGAATTGGATGGACTCTTTGAACATTTCTTTGGTGGTACTACACCTTCTTATCCTGAAGAAGATACAATAGAACAAAATTTGAGAAGAGAAGAAAGACATTTAAGCAATTTACAAAATAATTGTCGTATGTTAACACAAGTTTTTCATTTATTACAACAAGCTCATCAAGCTGTTACTATTTCTCGACAAGCACTGGATGAAGCACTGAATATGAACACTTTTGATTTGTTTTCTCATTCGTCTTTTGCAGATATGGCAGTAAGTTCTCACTTAGCTACAGCTAGAAATGCATCTGCTCAAGCACAACAATTACTCAACGAAGCTAGACGTATATATCCAAATATACCACATATTGGTGAATTGCATATCAAACAAGATAATCTTGTTTTCAATATTATGTTCGATAATATTTGGACTGATATGAATATGAGACGAATGATTCAAGAAGCATCAAATCGTATTAGTCATGCCGAGACAATTTTGACGGGTGTTGTATTAGGTATTAAACAACAATTAACAACATGTGAAGCTGATCGTGATAGGAAGAGTAAAGAAGTGAAACGTCTCGCAGGTGAACATTTTACTACACGAGTTTCTATTGTACGACATATCATAGAACCGCCACCTCCATATTCGTCCGTGTAATAAGGAATTGCTTGAGACTTCAGTTGATTTGTATTTTTTTTGTTATTGTTGGTGTGTTATTATGAATTTTTTGCTGTCTCTCTATTGTATTCTATAATCTTTGTAAAAATAAGCTAGATTTGGTGTAAATCTACACCTGTTAATTTTCTTTCTCTCATACGAATAATTATTATACTTTATTTAATTCGTCCTGCTTTTGGTCGTTTTTTTGGTACTGTATTATTGTAATGTGATGTATTGAATTGATCAATAAAGAATTATATATAACTATCTCGTAGCTATACATATTAATTTTCGCTGCATAGCAATAATCAAATACTACTACTCTATGTCATGTCCACTGAACATGATATACTCTCTTTCCTCTTTCATGCATCTGCTTGCATTCATACTCCTCTCACTTCCCCTCTTTCTCACACACATACATCCCACTCTATCTTTGATATATTGTGGATGTTTTATACATTTCATCTTTTATGATATAGCTTACGCGTGATGATATGTGCTCATGGTATGCTTCACTCCTTTTTGTTTTTGCATTCATATGCGGTCGTCTTCTTGTTATTTTTTTCATTTATATTCATTCGATTCTTTTTTGTTCTTGGAATATACACGATGAGATATTCATCACATAAATATACATATATCCTCCGTAGTTTTTGTTCTGTCTTACTCAACGATAGTAACAGAAACAGTTATTAAATATTTTCAGAAAGGTCATTGTAAACTTGCAATTATTTTTTATTATCGTTTCCTATTAATGATTTAATTTAATATATATAAATCAACTGTTACATATACGGCTATTTATCTTTTTTTATTGTTTCCTATTTACTAATAATATAGAACGGATGAATAAATCATATAGGTTTAATCGTCTAGTATTTCCGTTCTGCTATTAGTAAATAGGAAAAAATAAAAAAAGACATATAGTCGCATTTGCAAATAGAAAAAAGACGATAAGTTAAAATTCAAATGTTAACTGATGAAAGAAATAGAAACTTTCTCCGAAACGTTTTAAATAAATATTTATATATGTGAGATCGTTTAAACAAAGATACACACTTTATTTCTCACGTTCACAGCAGGATTAATTTGTATGATAAATGATTAATAACTTCTAAATCTTGGAGTTTTTTTACTCAAGTTTTATAACATGACGGTTTGAACGTAATCTAAATATTGAATATTTTATAAAAGATCTCAAAGTTCTATTCGACATATTCTATTAAGATAAATTGTATGTGTAGACGATTGTGAATTATCTGATCAAGAGTTCTTAGAATCGGTTCATTCAATCACGTCGATTTTTACAAAAAAAGAAGCGCTATTTAAAAAACAAATTACTGGAATACATAGAGTCCATCGTATATATACGAATCTATTGTTTGTTCTATAGGGAATTACATTAGAATTTATTTTAAAAACAAAATTGAGAAAAAAATAATTGTTTATGTATGAAATGATATGAAGTAGACCATTTATACATTAAATCGTTTCGTCTTGTAACCGATTTTATCCCAAAAGTCACAATCGTCTTTTAAATAATATTTTCGAATATCAAGTGGATCTTGAAAGTATAAATAAGATTTATTTACATTTGCTTCTGGCCATATTAATGATCCTGCTACTGGTTGATTTGGATTATGACTTTTAGCAAAATTTGTCCAATAAGTTGCCATACTTGTTGATACACGTCTACCAGCATCTGTAAAATTGACCCATGTTGATTCAAATGTATAGGGTAACTCACCAGCGTGACATACATGATTATTACAAAATGTTTCATTTTCCCATCCATCAAAATCAAGTGGAAAACCAAAAACATA